TTTATTACTATGCTCTCTGTTAACACTTCTGCTGTTGTAACAGTGACTCTGAGCATTCCTTGGCTGTGGCAGCATAACTTTAATCTCGGCCCCCATCTTGCTCTATATATGGTCTTCTCCCCTGTGTTTATATCTCAAGTCTCCTTCCATTTTTATAAACACTTCATTGTATATCTCATCTGGAGATCCTTAACTTTGTTTCCTCTCCACAGACCTTTTATCCAAATAAAGTCACATATACAGGTTCCAAGGATTAGGATATGGACATATCTTTTTGGGGCCACCATTCAGCCTGCTTCATTCACTATATGATGTACTTAGATATACTGTCTCTCTCATCTGGGTAATTTCTCCCATCTGCTTTCTAGGTTATCTTTCTCCAGCTGAATCTAATCTCTAGTTTAAACTGTCTATTGAGAATTTAATTTCAGTGCCTATATTTTTTACCTCTAGAAACTTTATTTGGTTCTTCTTTTTTTTTTAATTAAAAAAAATTTTTTTTAACGTTTATTTATTTTTGAGACAGAGCAAGACAGAGCATGAACGGGGGAGGGTCAGAGAGAGAGGGAGGCACAGAATCTGAAACAGGATCAAGGCTCTGAGCTGTCAGCACAGGGCCCGATGCGGGGCTGGAACTCATGGACCGCGAGATCATGACCTGAGCCGAAGTCGGACGCTCAACTGACCGAGCCACCCAGGCGCCCCTGGTTCTTTTTAAAAAGAATTTTTTTTTAACATTTATTTATTTTTGAGAGACAGAGAGAGACAGAGCATGAGCAGGGGAGAGGCAGAGAGAGAGGGAGACACAGAATCTGAAGCAGGCTCCAGGCTCTGAGCTTTGAGCACAGAGCCTGACACGGGGCTTGAACTCACAAACCGCCAGATCATGACCCGAGCTGAAGTCAGACGCTCAACCCACTGAGCCACCCTGGCACCCCCATTTGGTTCTTCTTATAATCTGCCTTATGTCATGTTTTTTTGGTCATGTTCTTTAGTTGTTTCAAGACTGATACCTGATAAATATAAAGTCCCTGGGGGATCTAAATCTTCTGTTTATTGCTTTGTCTGCTTCTTACTCATTAACTTATGTCCTTGGGTGCTTTGTACTTTTTGTTTATTTTCTCATATATTGTTGATCTAAATCTGTGGGAATCTCACGTGAGTCTGGATCTAGAGTATTCTCCTCCAAGAGAATTTGAATTCTCTTCTGCACTGCACTTCAGAGATGTGATGGACATGGGACAACTTTAAATGACTTTTTGGTTTCTATTCTCCCACCCCACATATTTAGTGTAGATTTGAGTTCTGTACTCATGTGTGGGTAGATCTATCAATCACCATAACTAATCCAGAGGAGTACTCTTTCTTCTCTCTGTCTCTCTTTTTTTTCCAGCCTGGAGCTGAGACAAAGACAGATTTTACTCTGCATACTTCTGTGCTTCAAAAGGGGCCTAGACTCCATGTAAACAAGGTTCTAGACTCCACGTAAAATTGAAGACACCTATTATTACAGTCCTCATTTTCTAAAGTGATGCTTTTCTGTCTACCCAGCTACTTGCCACTTTTGAATCATGCTTATGCATACATGTTAAGTGGATAATTTTCTCAATCATGAGGATGATTTAAAGCTTAAGTACCTGTGTTATTTGAATAACTGTGTTGATTCTCCACATTATTTTGCTCATATAGTCAAAGCCCATATATGTAGCCTAGAATCTGGTGGTCTTCTCTTCACTATACCATAGATTTGCCCTGCTTTGTGAAATCCACTATTTTAAATTGGCATGACATTAATTAGATGATTTAGTCGCATACTTAGAAAAACATGACTCTGCAAAAAAAATTCTATAGTTTATTTAAAATTTTAGTGTATGTAAACTCTAATTCCATTACAAAAAGCAATTTTACATCAGTGAGGAACCCATACATGATTAGCTATCTTTTTAAGAGGTTTATTTTCCAGTAATGCTGGTTTACCAGTGTGATCTCAGGCACCCACATTCCTGCATTTGGCTCTAGATTGCCTCTTCCTCAGTGAAGCTGTTGAAGGAGAAGATGACTAAGAAAGAAAGGTCTTCACTCAAGTTTCCGAATCAGTACAGTGTTCACAAGACTTTATCACCCCTTTGTACATCTTCCTCAGTTATTCGGTATTTAAATCATTGTTTTTTTTCCCTTAAATGTTGCATTAAGATTTGGGTTTTTCTTTTCAGAATCATCTATCATTTCCACATAAAGTATGCAAAATAGTTTGTGCAAACTAAGACTATGCTCTAGGGAGGGTGGCGTAGAGCTAAGATCACTGTATGTGGAATTCACAAACTTAACGTTGAGTCCTTATTGACCTCACTTGCTAGCTTAGGCTCTTGTACAATTCACTTTATATCTCTGAGCCTCAGTCTCCACATCTGTACAAGAATCTTGTACTAGACGGACCCTTGAGATTTCTTCTAACACTAACATTCTATGATTTGAGTTATTTACGTGTTAGGGGATTAGATAAATCATCTTTTCAAAAAATTTTTACTGACAGGTTGTGGAATCTGGGATTCTTTGCTATTTAAAGATACTCTTGTTTTTCCTTTCTATAATAACTTTCTATAAAATTTGCTGTGACTTGAATTAAGAGTAGCAAAAATTGGACGACAGCCAAAGGATAGTGAATCATGGGCACTACTTACTGACTAGGGTAAATTCTCCATAGAGAGATGTCTAAAAGAAGTAAGGTGGGAATTCTGGGATGAAGAGTATATAATTCACTATCACTTGGATGGTCTTTTAATAAAGGTTTTTATGGAGTAAGAGACTGGAGAATCTCAAACTGTTGATAGGCTTGCTAATATTTTAATGGAAAAATGGCATAAATATTTTGTGTGTGTGGTGTTTTGTTTTATTTCGTTTTTGTGCTGCTTTCTAATGTGGCTGTTTCTTTGACAGGGAAAGGGAAATGCCTTCTAGCCTCTGCAAGACATCATGTAATGAAGTACCTCAAGGACACTTACACTCACAAGAATTAAGCGGTAATAATAGATTCTAGAACTTCTTGAATAAATTACCTGATTGTGTACATTTTAGAAATTGTTTCAGTGATTAGTGTCGCTTTCTTTACTCCTAATGGCATATGATATCAACTAATATTACATGATGTGACAAATGCTGTAGTCTGTGAGTAAGCATAAACAAACTAGGTAAAATAAGTATTCATAAATATCTTTTTTTAGAAATATCTTCTGTTATATTGATAGGCAAAATGTAACATATGTGCTTATTTTAGTTAAAATATTTCGGGAAAAAAGTCTGAATATTACATCCAATGAATATATTAGTAAGCACTAGAGTCACTGATTTTACTAGGATTTAGTTCTTGGTACATAGTACCCTTCACTTCTTTTTTTTCCCCCTTCACTTCTTGACACTGAACTCTCCCGTATCTTGGGCCTCTTCTTTATATTTATGGAGTCATTTAGCACATTTTTCCTTTCTGATCATCATATTAGGCATCTTTTTATTTATTTTTTCATAAGTAATCTCTGTGCTCAACGTGGGCCTTAAACTCACAACCTTGAGATCAGAAGTTGCATGTTCTATGGGGCGCCTGGGTGGCGCAGTCGGTTAAGCGTCCGACTTCAGCCAGGTCACGATCTCGCGGTCCGTGGGTTCGAGCCCCGCGTCAGGCTCTGGGCTGATGGCTCAGAGCCTGGAGCCTGTTTCCAATTCTGTGTCTCCCTCTCTCTCTGCCCCTCCCCCGTTCATGCTCCGTCTCTCTCTGTCCCCAAAATAAATAAACGTTGGAAAAAAAAAAAATTTAGAAGTTGCATGTTCTACTAACTGAGCCAGCCAGGTGCCCCTATGTTAAGCATCTTTTCTTTTTCTTTAAATTTTTAATGTTTATTTATGTTTGAGAGAGAGAGAGAGAGAGACAGACAGAACGTGAGCAGGGGAGGGGCAGAGAGAGAGGGAGACACAGAATCGTAAGCAGGCCCCAGGCTCTGAGCTGTCAGCACCCAGCCCAATGTGGGGCTTGAACTCACGAACCACGAGATTATCACCTGAACTGCAGTCGGATGCTTAATCAACTGACTCACCCACGTGCCCCAGACATCTTTTATCCTCCAGTTTTATTGGGATATAATTAAGATGTAGCACTGTGTAAGTTTAAGGTGTATAGCATAATGACTTGACTTACATATATTGTGAGATGATTACCACAGTAAGTTTAATTAACATCCATCATCTCATATAGATACAGAAAAAAAGGAAAAAAAGTTTTCCTCATGAGGAGAACTGTTAGGATTGTAAACAACATCCATAGCCTTCCCTATTTTCTCATTGGAGAAGATTCCCTTTCATGTCACTAATTCCTTCACTCTTAACTTTCTTTCATTGACTTTTCTTCTGCTTCCTCAGGGACTGTGTCAATATTATACTCTATGTTTTTCAAAGAAGCTTCTTGAAAGAGTTGGTTTCCTTAATTATTTATTTACTTCCCATTTCACTGAAACCTGGTTTCCACCCCTAATACTCTACTAAAACTCCTGTTATTAAAGCCATCGTGGGGCGCCTGGGTGGCTCAGTCGGTTAAGTGTCCAACTTCGGCCCAGGTCATGATTTTGCAGTTCATGGGTTCGAGCCTCACATAGGTTGTACTGACAGCTCAGAGCCTGGAGCCTGCTTCAGATTCTGTGTCTCCAGCTCTCTCTCTGCCCCTCCCCAGCTTGCACTCTGTTTTTCTCTCTCTCTCAAGAATAAATAAACATTAAAAAAAAAAACACCATTGTTACCAATATGTTAGTCTTTCTCTGGTTTTTAGCACTGTCATCTAGCACCTCTTTTTCTGAAAACTAAGGGTAGTACCCACTGAACTAAATTCAGTTTAATTCAACAGACATTTTTTGAGGATTTGTTCTGAAGTAGACACTGGCACTTGAAGAATGAAAAATCTTGCCCCCTAGAGCCTGATAGTTGAGTGAGGGATATTGACATGCAAGCAATCACAAT